GGGTGGCTAAATCTGCACTTTGTACCCATTGGCGCCGTGCCTGTCACTGGCTATTTTGCTATTGAAAGATGCTTCTGAGCCATATTTACCATTACTATTTTCCAGAAGTATTACCACCACATTTGTATGGTGTAACCCATTATGGTGATAACATTGAAGACGAATGGTTTATTGTATATTTATTGAAAGAGATCACAAAGGAATATCCTGAATTAATTGCTCGGTATGTATATTTTAATTTGTTGTTTATTCAATATTTTACATTTCAATCTTTAGTGTTATAGATTCTGACGGGGAATTTCTACTTATAGAAGCTGCTGAGTGTTTGCCCAATTGGGCGAATCCTGATAACTGTGATCAGAGGGTAATTCTATTTTTGTTTTTGATAAAAAGACATATTAATTTATGAATTGTCTTAAAAGGTCTACATAAGTGATGGAGATGTTCATATTATTCCATTAGTTAGTTCAAATAGTAGAAAATCAATTACTGTTTCACAAGCATTAGAACAGATTTCCAAACATCCTACTGCCACTATAGCTACACAAGAAGTTAATTCTGCAATATCATCGCGTTTGCATAGGTAAAAATACTGATTTAATTAAATGCTCATTACTTAATATTATTTTTTTTTAACTTCTAGGTATCCYGATAAAATCAAGGAAAATCTCCATTGCTGTCATGCATATTTACCAGTAGGTGTTGCATACTTATTAAAACACCAGCCTAGTCTTATAGCACCAGCTGTAATAGCATTTTGTCATAGAGATATGTTGGATATTAAAGCATGCCAAACGATGAAGTAATTAGTTTTGTATTCAAACACCATGGCAATCATTAATTGTACTATTCATTTTTAGAAATTTTCCACCAAAAGAGAGAGTAATGCGTACAGTGACCATGACTAAATGTTTGTATGCTATGCTTATAAAACAAAAATTCATTCCTGAAAAGAGAACTGGTTGGGATTTAGTTGAAACAACAGACTTGCGATACAAAGCACAAATTACTGGAATAAAAATAGTAAGAATAATGATTTTTATTTTTAATTGAATAATATTAATCTATTATAAAATTTGAATTTGTTTAAATTTGGTATTACTCTATATTATACTGTAGTCATTAATACAATTTTGACTAAGATAGTTTTTTAAAAATAAATTATATTAATATATAAAATTATATATATATATATTAATTTTAAGATGAGGTACTAAATGAATATAATTAAAACATTAATTTTATTTATATAAATGCATATTCATTTTTTTTTATTAATGTCAAATTTTATAGCATTTCTATCATAACCATAGTTAGTTATCTATTAGTTTTAGTATTACTAATTATGTAAATGCATAAAATATAATTAATTTAACTCGAAGAGGACACTATATATATATATATATATATATATTTGTTGTCTCCGTCTTATAAGTGCGTAACATAACAAATTTGTGCTTAGCAGATCATGTTTAATTTTGTTAGTTTAAAAATTAGAGTAAATTGACCTATTGTGTAACTTAATGGTAAGAACATTATCTTTGTTTGTATGTGGGGTTTTTACGATAACTTAGTTTTTAAGTGAGTTTTGAGCATTTTTAATTTACACTTTTTATATATTCATAACTTGCTACTAAATTGAACTATGGTAAAAACCCTCACAGAAACACAGATAATGTTTTTAACATCAAGTTTTATAATAGGTAAATTCACTCTCATTTTTAAACTAACGGAGCTAAACGTGATCTGCTGAGCGTATATTTGCTATGTTATGCACTTGTAAGACGAAGACAACAAATGGATGTGTAGCGTTCTCTTAAATTATGAATTTTCTATTGTGGGGAATGGCTTCTTTAATCCAGTCATTCAAATTTGGAAAAATGTTTTGGTTCAATTTTGTAAAATTATGTCGTGGAAAAAGTAAAATGCCTTTATTCCTTATATTATTATAATAAATATTTATATATTTTATACTTGATAAATTGTGTTGTATTTATGTATAATTGTATGGTTTTTTTTTGTTGTTAAGGCTTGTGGATTTGAAATATTAGCCAGCCAAGCAAAATCAACTGTCAAAAATACTCCTATAGATTTGACCTATGACAAACGTTGGCATCATTACAAATCATCTTTAGCTGAAAAAGGATATTTTAAAGTAACTATAAATTTTAATAAATTTCATTATTTTAATGACCCAAATTAAACGCCACAAATGTAAAATTAAATAAATTAAATGATCCAAATAAGATACCAATATTTATGTTTTTAAGTTTAAATTTATTTTCATTAATCCTTTGAAATAAAATTATTCAATTTGACAATCGATTCTAAGATACTCGCTCATAAATATAAATTTTTTAATATATTATATCTTGATAGAAACTAAAGTTAACAAAAAGTGTATTTTGTTTGAATAGACTTAACTATAAAACTTGACTTGTTGGACAACAGTATTAAATAATAATTACTTTTTTTTGCTTTTGAGTGACTAACTATTGATTGTTTATTACTGGTCTAAGACTTGCTCCAATTTTCAATTTTTTATAAATATTTTACTTATAGATAATTTGAAGCCTTTAAARTTGTACACTTAATATTTACTTAAATAACACTAATTGAAAATTTCTTCAAATTACAGTTAATTTTTGATAATACTATGAGGTTGAATCTCAAAATTAATTTTTGTTTTATACTGCTTCTAAACAAATAAATTAACCTCTCTTACAGTATTTATTTTTAATGTAGAGTTATTTCATAGGAACAATAGTAAAAAGTTAATACAAATAAAATCTAATTTCTATATTATCATTAATTTATTTTAAAATATTAACAAAAAATAAATATCATTACAAGTCAACAATCTTTATATAAAAAAAAAAATATGGCTCAATAATACTTGGTTGTATTTCCAGAAATATCTTGTTCCTTCAAATAAACTAGTTTAATAAATTAATGCTTATTCAGGTTAGCTCATTAATCATTATAATTGAATTATTATTATTATTTAAAGTCTAGTATATAATATAATATATTATATATGATTCAACTGTTAATAGTTTATATATTTGTTTACTGAAATAAGATTTTATAAAACTATTATTAAAMAATTCAATATAAATGAAGTAATAATTATACCATAATAAATAACATTAATAGTTATAAATAACTGACAATAACTATATATTTTATTGTGAAAATTTTTGTTTATCTTTTATCTTTTAAACCCCAAAAAAATAATATATTTCTGCCTGCATTTTGTGCAAGTATGTATAATGTAATAACATCTATTATGATTTTATCATCGAAACTGTCTATAGCTATGTTTTTATCTTTTTGGGTTTGGTCCATCAATCTTCGRTTTTGGAAACAATTTGAATGGCTTTCATATAAATAACGATAATTGTAAGATTAACAAATGTACAATTATTTACTACAGATTAACTAAATTAATTTTTGCTCATCATAATTATTTTTTTGTAATAATTGTTTTTTGCTTTCATATTGAGCTCCTATCCACCCACCCCTAATTATTAAAAAACATCAAGAGATTCTCTTGATTCTCTAAGATCATAATCGTTTTGCCACTGCCTCATATTGATATCCTGATTTCTTGATAAATTATTTATGAGCTTACGTATACATTATTAACATTTTTATACCAACAAATAATATTTTAAGCAATAAACATTATACTWGAAAGAAAAAACTTGAAGTATGTAAATTAAACATTCTATTGTGTTTTAATTCCAATTAGTTTTTTTGAATTATATTTAGTTTTGTCCTGTTTACCATGTAATGAAAGATTCTTCAATACATTTTGAATATTAAATTAAACAACTAATTAGTACATTTCAATTCATTTCCGTATTTATAATATTTAGAATACACTACATTACCCACACTTAAATTATATTTTATGAATAAATACAACTAAATATTGCTATTTGTCAGTTAGATTACAAATTAAAAAATTTGAAATTCATATTATTTTATGTCTCTATTATAGAATTTATATGAAGGTTCAAATGGATACAAACTGTTAGAAGATCAAGCTAAACAGTATTACCTATCAAATGTAGATGAATATTTATCATCTCCATCAATTAGTCAAAGAATTAAAAATATTTTAGATAGCGTGACTGAACAAGAATTAGCACAGCTGAAAAGCGATATCTCAGATTTAGAACCAGAAGATGATGAAAAGTGGTTAGATGTCTCACCATCTGATTTAGATCGTATTCTTRAACAAAAGTTTGGATTGAAAAATTCTGAACAATCTTCMGCATCAAATTTTGCTTCCTCTTTTACTGACAAGATTAGAAGCTTTTTAAACCAAGCATCTGATATTAATGGAGCAGATTTCTCTAAAAATCATCTTAGGTAAGTGTAGATTATGATTAAGTGGAATATTCATTATTGCCTATTTTCATTACCCAATATCCAGAGAAGTATTTAGGAATTTTGCGCCCAAGGTAAGAAAAAAAAAAACGCCCCTTCCAACCTAAATTTCTTTAGTAATATTTGTAAAAAACAACATGATAGTTTATTAGTATCTGAGTGTCATTACTTTTTTTCATCACCCAAATTTAATTACCATATTATATCAAAATTTAGCGCCCTTAAAATTTTAGTATCCGAGGCCCAAGCCCCCCACCTAAATATGTCATTGCTTCTACTATTTATACTGTATTTGCTAACCTTACTACTTAATTTTTAGCAATGAATAACACATATTTTTTGTATTTTAATTTAATGTTTAATATTCACTGTGAACTTACAACATATTGTCTAATTGATGACTTAATCAATATAACAGTGACGATTCTGATGATTTGGATGATGAAGATAAACCTGATGATGATAAACTTTCCAACTTATTAGTTTGTGGACCAGACGTAATGTGTCCGACAAATGATGACAAAGATGCGGTTGCTGTTAGATACAAGAAACATAAAAACAAAACAAATGAAAAAAGTGGTGTGAATTTTGAACCAGAAAAATATGAAGCTGCACTAAGAAGTATTTTAGGTATAGTTTAAATTATATAGTTTAACATTATAACTTAAAATAATCTTTTTTTAAATTTAAATGTTTTTAGATTTTAAAATTCCTGAAGACAATTGGGATGAGTCAAACAGTTCTGACATGGATTCATATGGCAGTGATTGTGATGACATAATGTCAGGTAATGAAATAGTTAATGATATTGTTGATCTCAAATATGTTCTTTATAATCATTTTCTGTACCTATATTTAATTGAATTGTCTTATACTCTTATGAGTTAATTTAACTATTATTGTAATATTTAAATAAAAAAGACTTTTTCTTGTTATTTATTAATAATTTTAAATTTTAATAATTTTAATTTTACAGTCAGACACATTAAAATTTATGTATATTTTTGAAATCTTATTATTTGATTGTGTTTTTTTTATAATTTTAATTGCATAGGATAAGTTTTGTTTGATTGGAAATGACTTATAATGTGATTGAAATTAACAATATAAAATAGATTCTGCTGAATACAAACTTAGTATTTTGAATGTTCATAAAATGAATACAACATAGATTAAGCATCCTTTAAGTTAAATGACTTATTTATAATTGAACAACATTTTAACTCTGATATTTAGGAAGTCAAGCTGGTGCTAGTCTTACTAGTTATATGGCTCAAATGGACAAAGAACTTGCATCTACATCTTTAGGAAGTAGTTTTGTAAAAAAACCTACAAGTGACAAAAATAAATTAAAAGTATGCAATTGACATTGTGTCTATCAATTATTTTGCTTTACATTATTCTTAATTTCTTTCTTGCAGAAAACTGTTAGAATAGACCCTACAGTCCAATGTCAAGACAGCGAAGAAGATAATTTCTCTGATGTGGAAGATTTTGAACCTGTTGACATAGACGTAAATGCTTTTCAACATATTCTTAAATCATATCAAGAACAGCTTGGTTTACCAGGACCTGCTGGCAACCTTTTAGGACCAGCTGGTCTAAATTTGGGCCAAGAACCTTCCAAATAATTTTTTTAACTTTAAAGTATGAAATATAACATTCTTCTCTTATACAATTTTTTTTTATACATGCCTATATATATTTAATTTACTTTCTAGTTTTTACAAATTAAATAATTCCATGTATTTTATAATATTTTATTATTAAGTTATGAATTACAAAAAAACAAATCAGCATTTTTACATCAGGTAATCACTATTTTTTAAAAAACATCCATGATAATGTTTATTTACTCTAGTCTTGATTTGTTTCGTCATATTATATCATGAATAAAATCAATTAATTTTTAATAAAGTCTCAAATGTGTAAATAAATCACCTTTTGAATTCTTTTGCTTACAGCTGATACACACCTAACCACACCTAATCTAACCTAACCATAAGTATACATAAGACTATTATAGTTATTCTTTTTTACCAACATCTTGTCTAAACTTTGAAGTCTGAACACTGTTTGTGGATACTTTGCGAAAATCTACAATTCAACTTAAAATAATTCATTAGAATTAATTAACACAAGAGAAGCAATTAAAAAAAAATTTATTTTGTATTATAAAAAAATCAAATAATACCTAAAGTATTATAGTAAACATATGTATCTAAGTAGGCGAATCAAAAAAATCCACAAACATAAACCAGTAAAAAAAAATCAATTTGCGAGTCACACTGTTATTATTTAGCGTTTACATCCATTGAATAAAAAAAAAAACTATAAGCAAATTTAAGTCTTTAATAAAAACAGAATACATGAGTAATGAATAAGGTAATTTATTATAATTATAATTATTTGTATTTTGTCAAACACATACTATTATGATATTTGCCGTGTGACATATTATTATTACTAAATCGTAAATTATTTCTTAAAATTTTTTATTTTATACCATTAATGTTCCTATTCGGCTATTCTAAATTATCACAATTGCAGTATAGGTTGTACAAACGCCGAGAACGAACCGATTCATCGATTTCGTTTGTAGGCCTAAGGTATTCGTTAATAATACTCTATAATTTAATTTATGTCGTTAAAATAAAATTATCGATCAATTACAGAGCGCGGTCGTGTAAAACGTGTAAAAAACGATTCTTAAGTGATGGGTACGGGCATTAAATGTGATTTCGATTAAATCCAATAGATGGAATGGCCCATCAGAGACGAAAAAACGACCATGAAACTCGCACAGACAGGTAAATAAAATACAACTTAAAATAATTAATCAATATTAGTATACATATACACTTGGGCGAGCGCGTGCATGTACGCGAGCGGCGTGAAAACTTAAAAGACGCTTCACTGATAAGTGGAAACTACGCGGGCAAAGATCATTGAAAACAAAATATAACAATAATAATATATGTGCGCCGATAAGCTTGATGGACCGAACGATGTATGTTTGTGTGTTAATTGATTCGGATAAATAATAATATAACCGATAATGTTCCAAATCGCGTTGAGGGGCGGGTGGATGGGCGGGGATAAATTATTTTTTTATTGTGATTTAGACGATTAGTATAATATTATGTGGAGCAAACGAGGAGCATACCTATTAAATTTATATTATTGTAATCACCGTTTTAGTTGGTCGTCAGTTGTGCGTGCGGTAGGTTCAATATAATATTATAATAATATATTGGGCATCGGTTTCCAGGGGCCTGCGAACGGTTTTAAACATTTTAAACCGATTTTCGGGCGCTATCGCGCGACTTTTTTGCATTCTGTTTGTGGCCCTGGAGCAAACAACGAAGACGAAACGACAGCAATATATTTAAAAAAAATATACCTACCATGGACTTGATCGAAGTATCAACAGACCACAACGGCACTGCATTGGAAATGCAATACGACTTGGAAGATGAGCCAGAGAATAGGGAGTGCGTCGACGATTGTCTAGCCTACGGCATTAATGAAAAGCCACCATCGTATCTAACACCGCTGTTGGCCGTACAGGTAGAAATATGCTAAAATTATAAAAATTTATAATTTATTTAGATATATATGTTTCGTACAATCTCGTGACTCTGCTATTCCAGACGTTAAGTAAAAGTACCTAGTAACGATGCCAATATTTTAGACTCTAGTTTTTCAATGATGATCATATTGTTTTTTATTATCTGAGGTCAATTTTTTTTTTTTAGGGTAGAAACATTAATCTTAATATCACTAATCACTATAGCTAACATTCAAATTCACATCACTGTATTAATTTACTTTAATTATCGAAAAATGTACCTATTTTTAATTTAAATTTACATTTAAATATATTTTTAAAATAACTTTAATCGAATAAAATGTTAAAATTTATTAAACTATTATATAATTACACACATTTTGTCTAGTCAAGAATAATGTTTGTACAGTTTTTTTTAAAGAATCTAATATTTGACACTCCAATACTCTGTATATAAATATAAATACCTATACATACTTTATGCTTTATTAGTTATTCTCATAGTAAAATACAGTTACATATATACTGTGTGAAAATATGAATTAAACAAGGACACACAAAAAATATGTATTTTTCATTATTATTGTTGTAAACGTTTTGCAGAATGTAGTAACCACTTTAGGTTGTTTGATTTTCGTGTATAATATTTTGGCCCCGAAACTGTGCATTTTGCCAGAAGACCCAGCACGCGCACACTTGCTGGCCACAGGTGTTATGATGGCCGGCATCGGAACCGTGATGCAAACAATTTTGGGTGTCAGGTGAGCATATATATATATATTATTATTATTAATTATTTTCATCGATCATATAGATCTAGCCGATCTAGGCCTACTAATTTAGTTGTAATATTCAATGGTTTATCTTTTAGATATTTAGTGGAGTGATGAATGTATTGATTTTACTGTAATATGTGTTTTTTCATTAAAATTTTAAAATGGAAGTTCTTAGAATTGATTTATTTATACCTATAAGATTTTAAAATAAAAATATTAAATACAATATTCTTAGTAAGTTTTCTTAGCTTAAAAAAAAAAAAAAAAAAAAAAATGTTTACCGGAAAGTCAAATGAATATTGTACGAATGATTCAAATTCAAAATTTCCAAAGTTGGATGTTTACACCTATAAATTAATGATTTCCCTTCGAACGATTTTCTTATATTGCTGTAATTCTTATTTTGTTATAAAATTAACTATTGTTATTTGTTATTTTATTTAAGTATTGTTAACAAAAAAATAATGTTGGTCAAAAAACTTGAAAATTTAATACAAGGTTCCTTATAAGTTTGATTTAAGAATTTCGTAAATTTTAAAATTGTTTTATTAGAATGTATAAAATGTTCAATTTTTATACTTGAAGATTGAAAGTTTAAAAAAAAATTCTCATAAGTAGTTCACATTGTAATCAAAAACTCTAAATAGCATATAAACTGAGTTTTTTTAATAGATCTTTCAAGTTCAAATTTGGACGAAATCTGATATTTAAACTAAGAATAAAATTGTTTTAAAATATTTTTATAGGTATTGATGTATTGTATACACACAGTGATATTTTCAGTACAATTGTTTTGGAAAAAAAAATATTCAACCTATAAAGTGCCTATAGTGGCTAACATTAAATTAAATTACTTTAATATAGCAACGAGTCCATAAAATATATTTGGTAATACATAGCTAGGCTGACGGAACGCCTTCGCTTGGAATGGTTTTTCATTTAGGCAGTGTTCGGAACGTTCACTAAAACAAAAATATTCGTTCACGTTCACGTTCAGTCCTTAAGAAAGGAACTCGTTCACGTTCACGTTTATGTTTTTTTAAACGAACTCGTTCACGTTCACGTTCTTTGAAAAAATGAACGCTTTCGTAAGGTCATTCATCTAATTTTTTGTTTATAAATAGTTTTATCAGCAGTTTGTATAAAAACCATTAAACATATAGGTTTCAACCAAAAAAAAAAAAACAATTTAGACTTTAGARCATATACATTTTCTAAAGTATCTAAATTATATATATATATATTGTATTTATTAAATAGTAAATAATTTGAGCGTCTTCAAAATCGTTCAAATTAATTAAAAATATAAAAGTCGTTCACATTCACATTCTATTAAAAAAAAAAAACGAGCGACGTTCGCGTATCGTTCACTAACTATGAACGTGAACGTGTGACCATGTTCATGAGCGACGTTCTTTCCAAACACTGAATTTAGGTACAATGATTTTATATTGCATCAAATTCAAATTTATCATTAATACACACAGGTTTCTCTAGATACCTACTGTACAGCAGTGTAATACGCACTTGTCCTACTTTTTCCATAAAAATTAAGAGTTTTTGTACTGTATAACGCTATTCGAAATATCACCTTTAACAAAATAAGATTTTTGTAGTTTTTCAGTTCATTGAAATATTTTTAATGGCCATTTTTTTTTTTGTAATTCAACTATAATTATTATTTTGACTGGATATAATTTAAAAGGTTTTACAATTATTTACACTAGTAAAAAAGCAATACGCCCTATATTTAGTTATTTAATCATGACCTTTAATACAATGAACTAGCTAACTAAAATTATAAAAAATATACGGTTATTGTACTTCTATCAGAAAATTCAGGACTCAGAACCAACTCCCTTCTCAATCGTTCTCAAGTATTCGCAATATTGTCTACAAACAATTTTTTTAATTAGTAAATAAGGTGTCTATGTTTAATAATGTTCTTCACCCAAAATACAAATTGTGTAACACCAGCACTTTAGCACCCTCTATAACAGTTACAATCTAAGTGATAAGATAAGTTAGATTAATTATAAAATGTCATGTGTCTAGCGAGTTGCGATAAATAAAAAAACCATTCCATATGGCATATATTATATGTATATAATATATATTTATTAATATTTTTTATAAGTATTATATTATGTTTCACGTACTTACTTAATTAATGGTTGTATAGCACATTATTCTTATGATGGCACTCTTTAATAATAAATATAATATTAAATAGGCTTCCGATCGTCCAGACCAGTGGATTTGTGTACCTTTCTTGCACGCTATCCATATTGGATCTTCCGAAATGGCAGTGTAGTAGCAACATCGACCTATTCACGATGGGTCCCGAGGCCCGTACGCAGGTGTGGAATCTTCGTGTTCAGAACATCCAAGGCACTATGATTAGCATCGGTATCATTCAAATGTTTTTGGGGTACTCTGGTAAGAATATAACTGAAAAATTCTATAAATCAATATTATAATAAATTATTATCTTATTAATGGGTGAGGAGAGGATGAAATGCTCGATATCGCCCCCTAACAAGGCGATTCTTTTAAAAATAAACACTGGTTTTCCCAAAAATATTGTTCTGTGATGACCTTAAAATATTTAAAAAATTTACACTAAAATAAATATTTAGCTTAATAAGAATCTTCCTGTATGCCTAATATATACACTATAGATAGGTACATGGCCTGTCACGATTTCTGGTTTCTATGAGTTATAATTAAAGGATTAAACGGGAAAATGAGATCGAACACTGGAATACTGTAAAGTATTAGGTATACATATTTTATGGTTTAACTGTTTAAGTACATTTATTACCCATGTATAAGTAAAGCCCTTCTAAAAACCAATATAGATTTATAATTAAGGAGAGATGCAAAACCCTTCAATTTTAAAATATTACCACAAGCAAAATAACAAATTGCCCACTATATACCTAATCACAGTCATTATACACAAATTTTATCTAAAAACAGTTCAGCAAGAATCAAAAAAATAGCAGTTCTAAGCTATTATTCTTACCCTCTTGGGTCTCAACTAAAACCATAAATCAAAAGCTTATCAACTAATGAAACCCTTGGTAGGTCATCTTGTAAGATCCTTGAAGTATAGATGATGTAAAGACTACTTGCTAAACTAACATCTATATTAGCTTATATATAAAAAGAAAACAGATTTAATGTCATATGTGGGTTGGTTTCTTTCAAAATCTGCTCATACTCTTATTTTACCTCAATCATATACAGATTGTAAAAAATAATTATAATTATAATTAAAAGAGGTTACCATGTTAAACCTGGTTGTATACCCACAAGTATGTCCTCCTCGATTATCTTTTAGTACTTACCTCTAACTACATAATAGATCCAACTTTTAAAATTTAATTTTAATTACCTAGTTTACTTTTAGATTTTTAGTTTAGAGAACATCCATATAAGTATATTATTATGTTTTACTTTATTAACACGAATGTCTATTAAAATGAAAAGATAACCCTGAACAAAATTGTCAGTTATTTTGAAAAACTAATGCGTATTCCCAATAAGTTGGTATATTTGTGTATTATAATTAATAATTTTTTAGTATTGAATAAGTCTCATTGAATAAACACGATTATTGCTTGTAAAAATAATATTGGGTAGATAAACCAAACATTTGACCAGCATCTTTTAACATTTTTATCAATTTGATAAATTTAATTATAGTTTTTCTCCAAACAATAATTATTCATCTATTAAAAATAAATATAATTTAGGTACAAGTTTTTTTTTTTTTTATTGCCCTTTGACCATTTCCGTCACATTTAATTACATAAATAATTGCTTGGTGTGATATTAGTCATCAGTTATTGTTTCTACTTATATACTGCAGACTGCAGTGCATATTAAATTATATTATATGATTGTATTCATATTTCATATTTTATAGTTAATACCATCAAACGTCTTGACTTTTATACTTATTGAAATTATATGATAATGCCAAGCCAATCACCAATTACTAGTGTCATAACTCATGAATAAATTATTATTGTAAGTAGGTTTAAAAAAAAATTGTTTTTGGTCTACAAAAAATCTTCGATATCCTATTCCAAGTTGTAAGTGTGGCTGATGATGGTCTACTATATAATTTATACTGTATTTTCAAATTATTATAAATATAGGTAGGTAGGTATAGTAATCCAAAAACGGAAAGCAATATTATTTTATCGCCCAATAATATAATAAATATGTACTTATAATTATCATTATCCATAACACTATTGTCCTATAGATTTTTTTATTCGCTGGTTTAGAAAATCGTCTATTCACCTACGCCTTATAGGTATGCCATATATATTGTATATTAGTAGAACTGATCGTTATATCATCATTATCGATGACAGAAAGTACCTATACACGCATGTTACACGTTGTTATACAAACAACATTTTAATTAGACAAGCTTAAATACGGCGGCTACAACGATGAATCAATATATTATATTGTATTTCATATTGAACCTATTTCCGGTCATTCAGAGACCTCACTTAACATTCTAACCTTTGTCGCCAAACAAAATACTACTAATAATAATAGACATATGCAAGATTGGTGATGGGTGGGCGGTTAAAGGTTAAAGAAATTTCTTAATATTAGTAGCATGAGAAAAAAAAAACATTTAATCAAAATAACATTGCTATATTTTTTTTTTATCCAACACTAAATATTTAAAAACAACTATTTGTTACAATATTGAATATTCAACTTAAATGACTTGGCCGCGTTATTTTAAAATAACGCTTTACCTGTTTATTATTAAATTTATTAATTATTGTGTTTGTCTTTGTAATTTATAATAATGTGTGAATAGCAAAAAGCAACTGGTCTTACTCTCCATTACATATATTTTTTTAAATTAAAATAAAGCATATTTGTTCATTGGTGAATGGGATGTGTATAAATAATAGTAATAATACCATATTAATTAATACCTGCAATAACGTAATACAATTCACGTAATTATATGTCCACTGAATACAGATTTCGAGAGCGGATCTATTGCCTATGTCCTATATTGGTATCTTATTTTTACCGGTTAGAACCACAGCAGACCCATGTTATAGTACTTATTTTTTTATAGTGGCAAGTATTCTGACTTATGAGTGTATATATATTTATAATATATTGTGTACTTATATTGTTTGTAATATATTATAGATCACATCAATTACAATTAATAATATTAAGATGGGCGATCGTTATTTTTATTTTTGTCGTTATTATCTTGCAGGTATTGTCGGAAAATCGCTGAAATACATAACGCCGCTGACCGTAGTGCCAACCATGTGCCTCATAGGATTGTCAGTCATCGAAAAAGGAGTATTTCTCATGTCAGGAAATTGGACTACGGCTATCATGTAAATCATAAATTATATTTTATCATAGATATTTTCCTAAACTTAAAAGTTGATATCTACTTACTATGCTATAAGATACCGGTCATCTACATATTGTGTATAATATTTTGAGTTATATATTTTATAACTTAAAAACGTTGTTTTACACAAAATCAAAATGTTGTTTGTTTGTTCAAATTGTAAAGTCTTTTTAATGATGCAAAGATTACATGTGTGTATTACTTGAAATACCACGACAGCGTGACGTTAAACATCAATTAAAAAGCGTTTGGGTAGGATTTTGATAGTATAATATATTACAACCAATTATTTAATGATAAAATTCTCAGTAAAAATATTTTATTGCTTAAAATAAACTTATCAATCGTTTCCATTGAACATTTTTATTATTCCATAAGAATAGTTATAATAAGTTATAACTTTATTCCTGGCTTAAAAAATATTCGCGTTGATACTGTTTTGACAGCACTATTTTTATATTTAATACATTTGCCTAAAAATTGAAAACTAATGCTTCAAATTTTAATTGAAATAATTATAGCTGTATTAAGGTTATTAGAAAACATGGTACAAGTCGATATTTTTGGTATCATGCATTTGTTAAAAAATCACTTCTTAATCTCACTCTCCAGTGCCGTGGAAAATATTTCCGGATATCTATTTTCTAATTACAAAGGAAAAAATGTACCGGTACCCTAGAATTATTACCTCCAATACATAAAAGAAAAAAATCACTGTAGGATATTTACATTTGGGGGTCAGACCAGAGACAATTTAGATAACCTAAATCAAAAATTTTTAAATCTGATTCACAGCCATTAGATTTGTTTGTACCTAAGTAGAAAACCCTATTGCTATCACAGGAATTATATTACAATAATCGCATTACAATCCTTATCGGTACACGCTCATGATGTTTTGAATGTCGAGTTATTTATAAAACTGTTTAATTATGTATTTAAAAAAAATATCAGATAAAACGAACGCATAAACGAAATACAAATAGTAGAGATGGTAATTATTTCTTAAAATTTTAATATAATTTTAATATTAAAATCTGTGAATAGTTTTCAACTTCAACCTTATTGATCTTGTTTTTTTTTTAAATTTTAATTGTGCGTGATCGAAATTTAATTATTAATTTAAGTACTAATAAGTCAATATTAACATTCTTAAATGTAAACAAAAAATTTTTATCACAAAAATATACTTTCATATAATTATGTATTTATAGCTGTGTCCAATGTTAAATTACTTTGTAAAATAATGCTGTTTNAATCTAGAAGAACAATTTCCAAAAAATGAAAGTGTAGATAATAACACAGAGTCGGTGCCAGAACTGGGGTTTGAAAATGATATTGGTCTGTGGCCTAATAAATGTACGAAGGAAATTATATCCTTTTGGATAAAAAAAGGTTTTAATGACTTACAGAACTGTGATGAAGAATTATTTGAAAAATTGTCCGTAAATCAAGATCGATGTGAACGTCCAGATCATGGTACTAGAAAATGTTCAATTAATCTTTTTAAAAGGATTTCGAAAAATAAAGAAATTGTTAATCGTTTTTGGCTTTGCTTTTCTCCGAGCACCGGGAAAATTTATTGTTACGTTTGTAAACTTTTAGAAACTAATCAAGGAAATCTATCTAATAACGGGTATTGTGATTGGAAGCATGCATCTGAACGACTACGTCAACATGAAGCATCTAAAGAGCACTTACAAGCGGTTATAATACTATCACAACGAGGAAAAGAAATAGGTTGTATTGACAAAAGTTTAAAACAGCAGATGAACGAAGAAAGTGGTTATTGGAATAAAATTCTTATGCGCGTAGTTAGTACTATAAAATTTATTTGTGAGCGTGGATTGGCGTTAAGAGGTCAAAATGAAATTATTGGATCATCAAAAAACGGAAATTATCTTGGCATTCTAGAGTTGATAGCAGAATACGATCCATTTCTTTCAGCACACATAAAGAAACATGCAAATAAAGGAAGTGGCCATACAAATTATCTTTCGTCAAYAATCTGTGAAGAACTGGTTAGTTTAATGGCCAAAAGCGTACTCAATGAAATAATTACTAGACTAAAAATATCAAAATATTATTCAGTCTCTGTTGACTCCACTCCAGATGAAGGGCACATAGATCAACTTACGGTAATATTTCGTTATATGGAAAACCTTATTCCTGTAGAAAGATTTCTGACGTTTTTACCTAACAGTGGACATACGGGTAAAGCTATAGCTGAAACACTTATTCACTTTCTAAAAGATTATGATATCGATATAAAAGTTATTTAAAGTTTTAAAGCATGTAGATCAACTAAAAAATCTTATATTTCAATCTTGTATGGGCCCTGGGGCCCCCACAACATTAAATCCGGCCCTGACTGCAGTGCATATTAAATTATATTATATGATTGTATTCATATTTCATATTTTATAGTTAATACCATCAAACGTCTTGACTTTTATACTTATTGAAATTATATGATAATGCCAAGCCAATCACCAATTACTAGTGTCATAACTCATGAATAAATTATTATTGTAAGTAGGTTTAAAAAAAAATTGTTTTTGGTCTACAAAAAATCTTCGATATCCTATTCCAAGTTGTAAGTGTGGCTGATGATGGTCTACTATATAATTTATACTGTATTTTCAAATTATTATAAATATAGGTAGGTAGGTATAGTAATCCAAAAACGGAAAGCAATATTATTTTATCGCCCAATAATATAATAAATATGTACTTATAATTATCATTATCCATAACACTATTGTCCTATAGATTTTTTTATTCGCTGGTTTAGAAAATCGTCTATTCACCTACGCCTTATAGGTATGCCATATATATTGTATATTAGTAGAACTGATCGTTATATCATCATTATCGATGACAGAAAGTACCTATACACGCATGTTACACGTTGTTATACAAACAACATTTTAATTAGACAAGCTTAAATACGGCGGCTACAACGATGAATCAATATATTATATTGTATTTCATATTGAACCTATTTCCGGTCATTCAGAGACCTCACTTAACATTCTAACCTTTGTCGCCAAACAAAATACTACTAATAATAATAGACATATGCAAGATTGGTGATGGGTGGGCGGTTAAAGGTTAAAGAAATTTCTTAATATTAGTAGCATGAGAAAAAAAAAACATTTAATCAAAATAACATTGCTATATTTTTTTTTTATCCAACACTAAATATTTAAAAACAACTATTTGTTACAATATTGAATATTCAACTTAAATGACTTGGCCGCGTTATTTTAAAATAACGCTTTACCTGTTTATTATTAAATTTATTAATTATTGTGTTTGTCTTTGTAATTTATAATAATGTGTGAATAGCAAAAAGCAACTGGTCTTACTCTCCATTACATATATTTTTTTAAATTAAAATAAAGCATATTTGTTCATTGGTGAATGGGATGTGTATAAATAATAGTAATAATACCATATTAATTAATACCTGCAATAACGTAATACAATTCACGTAATTATATGTCCACTGAATACAGATTTCGAGAGCGGATCTATTGCCTATGTCCTATATTGGTATCTTATTTTTACCGGTTAGAACCACAGCAGACCCATGTTATAGTACTTATTTTTTTATAGTGGCAAGTATTCTGACTTATGAGTGTATATATATTTATAATATATTGTGTACTTATATTGTTTGTAATATATTATAGATCACATCAATTACAATTAATAATATTAAGATGGGCGATCGTTATTTTTATTTTTGTCGTTATTATCTTGCAGGTATTGTCGGAAAATCGCTGAAATACATAACGCCGCTGACCGTAGTGCCAACCATGTGCCTCATAGGATTGTCAGTCATCGAAAAAGGAGTATTTCTCATGTCAGGAAATTGGACTACGGCTATCATGTAAATCATAAATTATATTTTATCATAGATATTTTCCTAAACTTAAAAGTTGATATCTACTTACTATGCTATAAGATACCGGTCATCKACATATTGTGTATAATATTTTGAGTTATATATTTTATAACTTAAAAACGTTGTTTTACACAAAATCAAAATGTTGTTTGTTTGTTCAAATTGTAAAGTCTTTTTAATGATGCAAAGATTACATGTGTGTATTACTTGAAATACCACGACAGCGTGACGTTAAACATCAATTAAAAAGCGTTTGGGTAGGATTTTGATAGTATAATATATTACAACCAATTATTTAATGATAAAATTCTCAGTAAAAATATTTTATTGCTTAAAATAAACTTATCAATCGTTTCCATTGAACATTTTTATTATTCCATAAGAATAGTTATAATAAGTTATAACTTTATTCCTGGCTTAAAAAATATTCGCGTTGATACTGTTTTGACAGCACTATTTTTATATTTAATACATTTGCCTAAAAATTGAAAACTAATGCTTCAAATTTTAATTGAAATAATTATAGCTGTATTAAGGTTATTAGAAAACATGGTACAAGTCGATATTTTTGGTATCATGCATTTGTTAAAAAATCACTTCTTAATCTCACTCTCCAGTGCCGTGGAAAATATTTCCGGATATCTATTTTCTAATTACAAAGGAAAAAATGTACCGGTACCCTAGAATTATTACCTCCAATACATAAAAGAAAAAAATCACTGTAGGATATTTACATTTGGGGGTCAGACCAGAGACAATTTAGATAACCTAAATCAAAAATTTTTAAATCTGATTCACAGCCATTAGATTTGTTTGTACCTAAGTAGAAAACCCTATTGCTATCACAGGAATTATATTACAATAATCGCATTACAATCCTTATCGGTACACGCTCATGATGTTTTGAATGTCGAGTTATTTATAAAACTGTTTAATTATGTATTTAAAAAAAATATCAGATAAAACGAACGCATAAACGAAATACAAATAGTAGAGATGGTAATTATTTCTTAAAATTTTAATATAATTTTAATATTAAAATCTGTGAATAGTTTTCAACTTCAACCTTATTGATCTTGTTTTTTTTTTAAATTTTAATTGTGCGTGATCGAAATTTAATTATTAATTTAAGTACTAATAAGTCAATATTAACATTCTTAAATGTAAACAAAAAATTTTTATCACAAAAATATACTTTCATATAATTATGTATTTATAGCTGTGTCCAATGTTAAATTACTTTGTAAAATAATGCTGTTTTATTAGTGGTGATAAAATATAATCAATAATATTATATATTACAACATATTAAACAAACAGTATTTTATTAATTATTGGTGTAACGTAACGAATAATAAGACACTTATTTTATTTTCAAGACTTTAACCGATGATCTCAAATAACTATAATTGTATTAATTCACATATTTTGATTATTGTGTTTATAGGACTCTATTTTTACTGACATTATTCTCTCAATATTTGCGAAAAGTCGCTATTTCCTTGCCAGTCTATTCGTCTAAAGGTGGAATGTTCAGAGTGCGGTTGAAGATTTTCGCACTGTTTTCGGTAAGACCTGGATGATCTCTTACAGTCAATGCATTTTGTTGTTTATTTATTAATAAAAATGTTTAACCAGATATTACTAAGCGTGGGCATTATGTGGATCGTGTGTAATTACATGACTTCAAAGAATAATCTATTACCAACGGATCCGGCGAACACAGACTCGAAGGCTGGAATATTGCGCAACGCACAGATATTCCGAATACCTTATCCTTGTAATAAATATTATTGAGAATTCGTTTCAACATTTAAGAGTTCCGTTTAGATCTACAAAACGTGTTTTGGTTTTATTATGTCAGCTAGGGGTATTAAAAAAAAAAACTTTTTCTCCTTAATGTGGCACATAAAGTGCATAACAGAAATGTATATTATCCATAGGCGCAATTTCAACTTTTGACTTGGGGGGAGGGGCTGAATATATTAAAAGACAAGCAGACATTTATAATATAGCGTTTTAAAATTGTAGGTCTTAGATTTTGTTTTTTTGGGAGGGGGGTTGAGTTTAAACACTCAAGCCCTCCCCAGATAGCGCCTATCATATAATTTATATGCCACACTATCCACCTTCGTGATAAATCACCTGCAAATTTAGTTCAATAAACCATTACACTTTTATCCCGCCAATGGATAAGAAAAAGAAAATATTTTGAGCTCTATTCGTGCTCACAATTTGTTGACGCGAGTTATACTCGTATCATAGATACTAAGATCCTCTTACGTTATTATATCAATAATAATTAGTAATTACTATATCTGTTTTTAAAGTTCAATGGGGTTGGCCGACTGTTAACTTGACGTCGATATTGGCTATGTTACCCGCACTTTTCGTTAACATTGTAGAGTCAGTCGCCAATTATTACACGTGCGCAAGATTTTCCAGTGAGTATTATGTTATTATAATATTTATTATCGATATAAACGAAAATTTTTAGCTTATACTCCTCGCGTATCCAACTATATAAGATTAATAATAACTGTTATTTTTTTAATTAAACATATCACTCCCTATACATCATATTTATCTGCTATAAACTTCAAAGCAATTATGTGCGTAATAATAAACGGTAGTTGAATTGAATAAATTGCTGTTATCTGTTAATCATAATTATTTAAGCCACATTCAATCACTTAGCTTAATGCATTTTACAGAAAGTATAATGAAATATTGTACCATAGTTTATTGTTGTTTTTTCCAATTTAATAAATAATATGTTGCGATATACTTGTGTATGTGTTTTAGATGTATTCATACATCACTGTATACAATCAGTGGCATGATTAAGGAGAGTGAGACATGAGAGGGATAGAACCCCAAAACTTATTTTACGGCCAACATTTTATATTTGATGGAGTAGGTTACTGTATGAGACTTACAGATTTTGCTGAAAACATAAAACCCCCCTAAACCAAATTTATAATTATTCCACTGGCAACCACTGCATATAATTTCATATAAATTACCCCTTTCCCGCTCCTTCCGTAACAGAAGTCCTTGCACATGTTCAATATTATATTATATATATATATATACGCTTAATATTTAATATGCGTCGATGGCTTTTTTTTGCAGATTTGACTAAGCCTCCACCGAATGCAGTGAATAGGGGTATCGGCATCCAAGGTATAAGTACGATTTTTGCCGGTTTCCTTGGAACTGGTTCTGGCGTTAGCTCATCCAGTGAAAATGTGGGAAATATCGGCATCACTCGAGTAAGTATGTATACTAGTAATAAAATTGATATTTAATTACACAACATTATTGAAAACTCATGCATTGTTAGTTACCCATCAATTATATTATAATTTAAACTTAAAATATACTAAGGCCAATGGACATTTATGCAAATAGTGTTGGTCTTGACTCGTCTGGCAGATATTAATTCTCCCTTAAACTACAAATTCAGATACCTAACTATATACATTGGCTATACCGAGTCAGTCGACTGCAGACGTATTATTCAAAGAATACAAATCATGGGTTTTAAAATGATTTAACATAGTTATTTGGTAAAATATGAACAAGTGTAGTGTAATATTACCAGGTGTTAAAGTGGGGGGGGGGACGCAGGAGGACTCAGTCCCCTTACCTCTGACGGCGGTTAAAAAGCTTCCCCTTTAACAAATTAGGATTTTATACATTAGACATTATACATAAAATTATTTATGGAACGCTTAAAACTTTTTGGAAACATTAGTCCCCTCTGGAATTTTTTCCCACTTTAACCTCTGAATATTACTAAATAATTACTAAATATATTCTAAACAATTATTATAAATACTCATAAGTCATAATCTAAAAATGTATTGTTCAATTGTATTATTATTACTTATGGGCTGGTGTGGGGATGAAACGAAGGTCCTCGTGATAGTTTTCTATTAAACATATTATTGGCTCACATTATTGGTCATGCAGATTTAATTCGTCTTTATGTGACAGTTTCTACCAGAAAAAGATTTAGGTTCATAGTATACATCATACGCGCGTATGTATGTATGTTTTTATTATATATTATTATTATATGTGTCTAGATATAACATTTAAACGTATAATCTCAAATCACATGAAACTATACATCAATATCATCCGACAAGCATGTTATGCTTTTGATATTATAATATAGGTACAACCGTAACATTATCCATGTCAACGGTTATAGCAATATATTATTTTATTCCAGAATAACATAATACTTATTGGTTTTTTAGATTCTGAGCGGAGCGAGGATTATATATATTTGATAACATTTTCAAAATATTTTGATTAATTTTGTGCTGTATTCTGATATTTTAATTTTTCAACTTTTTTAGTTTTTTTTTTTTCTATTAATGTAAATAAAAATTTATTTGTTGGGTAGAAAAGCTTGAAAATTTAATACAAGGCTCTTAACACATTGTTACACTAGCAGTTTAAAAATATTATATATAATATATATGTTCACAATTTTTTTTTATAAGCATTCAAAGTTTGAATTTTGACAACTTACGTAAAAATCACGAAAATTCGCAAATTATTTTAAGCTAGAAATTCATAAAAAATTTTCTTTTTAAATCTAAGATTTGAAAATTTTTAATAATCTATAATATATCCTAGACAGATAAGCCATCTTCGCTCAAAATCGTTTTTCGTATACAATGATAAATATCATTGGATTCAAATTTAGTTTCATCCATTACAGTAACCTATTTGAACCTATACTGCAGTACAGCAGAGCGACATCCACGACTTACCCGCTTTTTATTTTTATTTGGAGTATATAGTTTGGGGATCTCGTTTCAATATAGCTACTTGCAAGATGAACAATATAATGATTATTTCAATACTGAATTTTTTTCACTTGTTCGATTTTAAGATATATGCTCGTTTAAATTATAGSATTTACAATAGTAATTAAATTTAGTATCGCAATTATGAAACAAATAAGTTTTTTTCTCTTAAAAACGTGGTTAAAAAAGTCCATAGATTTTATTTAACTCATTTACCATTGCCCAGTGTAGTCACCTTATAAACACATATGTTTTTCTCAAATATTTTTATAATAGTTGTATAAGCAATATTATCATATACTACAAACAACAGCATTTATTTAGTCGAAAAATGAATTGACCAAATTTTTAATATTATGTGATAATATATCTATTTATGCTTCACACTCGTCCTTTGTTCACGATAATAATTTTGTATATAGGTCAACGTTTATCAAATGCAATTTTGCAAAAATAATAGGTAGATAATAGGTAGTAAACTATAGCCTATAGGTATTTTGTTTCACCTACTCGAACGGCGATCAATTTTTGTAGCATTAAAAACATTATATTATTTGTCGATACACCATATACATGCACAAATATATCGTTCGTAGAATTTAAAATACCTACGTATGAATGTATAATATAGATGAAAAACAAAAGTAGTAACCATTCACAACAAATAATTAAGATCATTTTATTTATCTGAATTATTATTACTGTGCCATATTTACGTGTTGTTTTTAAGGGAGTTACAATAACCCCATATTTAGGGAAATATTGAAATGAGTGTTTAAAATCAATAAATAATGTTCTGTATGAGAATTCGCTCCAACTGTATTCTTTATAAGCTTGTTCCATACCTTTATTTTTTTTAAATTGAGACATAGGAGATAGGACACACAGGAGTCAGGATTATTATTATTTATTATTATTATTATTGCTTGGCATTTATAATTTTAACATAAAAGGTACGAGGTTTCCATTGGTTTCAACTCGTAAGTCATTATGAAAATATATATAGTATAATACCCGTTGGTTTATATCGCGATGTTTCAGGTGTGCAGTAGAAACGTGATTGGACTTTCAGCCTGCATTATGATCGTTGTGTCCACATTTACCAAACTAATCGCACTACTGGTGACTTTGCCGGATCCAGTACTCGGCGCAATGACATCCGTTCTACTCGTATTGATCGGAGCCGTAGGCAAGTATATTTAAATATATGTTATAAGTTATAAACTATGTTATATTACATTTACGTGCAAGTGGTCTAATGGTTACTGTATCATGCGATACCAAAAATGTAGGGCTGCACATTTTCAAACGAAGATTCGACAGTACTTTATGTACTTTTAACGATTAGTATTTTGAATTGATGTGGAATGTGGATGGAGTACTGCGCTTTAAATGGCATACTTTTTTGTGTATCTCTTGTACATGGATACGTTTACATGAACATGACAAAACCAAATCACTTATAGAGCATAGAGATGTATCGTGAATTAACGAAATTTGAACGAATATAATATCCTAATAATTTCCTTAGCATTGTATTTTCAATCAATAATCTTCATGTAGCAACTAGTAGGCGGCGATAATTTCCAAACGATAATTTCGATAATTATTGATGTTCGTTCTTTTCTTTTCTTTTTTCTTTACACTAGGTTTTATGCACCTGACCTGCAAGTATACATTTATTAACTCACACGTTAGAAATAATAAACTAAACCTTGATGTATCTTATTACGTGGACTATGTAATAAGTATATGAACATAAATTTCCTATTATAACAGCGTTGGCGGGCGCTCGCTAAATTATATTAATAAGTTATTCTATATTCTATAAGTTTTCTGCGTTTAAAAATTATAATATATTTTATTTAAATGTTTATTATAATAAACACATTTTTTACTAAAAATAGAACCCCAATAATGGACTAATGAGTCATAAGCATAACTGTTTAACAATATATACATTATACTTAAATAGTTACAATATGTAGGTACTTACTGTAAACTCAACAGTTAAAACTTCTTAAGAATAATTAGTTATATAATTTAAATATTTGTTATCGAATTTGTTTAAAATTTGAATTTCCCCAACAAAATAATCAACATGACTTAGAAAAATTGGAAATCGTTTTGGTTCAGAAAGAAATATATTTATAGTTCTGTAACTAAAACCATAATGTCTTATTGTTTTCGAACAATCAATGTTTATTTTATTATTGATAATTAATTGTCTTATTTATTTTTATTGTTTGTACAGCGCTGTCTAATCTACAGTTCATAAATCTCAACTCGTTAAGGAATATGTATATTCTCGGATTGTCAATATTTTTTGGATTGGTATAATAAATATTACTTATGAATTTATGATTATAATAAAATATGTTTAACTGTAATGGTCATCCGTTCAAATAGTTGGCCAGACCCATAAACTATTAACTATTATAATAATCTCAATTTTGAAAATGTTTTACTTGCAGGCAATTCCAAAGTATATATCAGCGGTGCATGTTAATACCATCATTAACACCAAATACGAAACCATCAACGATGTTCTCATTGCGTATCTATCCTCTGGAATATTTATCAGCGGATTTATTGGCTTTATTTTAGATAACACTATTCCAGGTACCTATTGTACATCTATACTATGGTGTATATTTTATATACATAGGAACTACCCACTGTCGGAATTGTAGCGGAAAGGGGGGGGGGGTGCTAAAGTCTCTTCAACTACCTTGTTAACTTTTCATAGTCAACATTAAATTTACTTGAAGGAGTTATAATTTTTTCCTTATTTACTATTGCTAAATTATTTATATAAGTATTTGGTATTTTTAAAATGTGTATGTTCATATATTATCATAAAAATTAAATTCAAATGTAAATTAAATTAAATTAATGATTTATCGACTATCATATTATATTATGCTCACAGCTAACGAATTTGATTTATATTATTTTTTTTTGTGTGTCTGTGTATAGCATAACTAGTCAAATTATGCTTCGATTTCAAACTTTGGGGGTGGTTTCCGATGTAAAAGTGAATATCCTCGATGCATTATATAGGTCAAAAGTAAACATTTTCCAACTACAGTTTTCAAAAAAATCGAGAAAAACCAAAAAAAAAAATGACAGAAAAACAGGAATTTTTACGCAAAACCAGTATTCGACCAAATCGATTTTTTTATATGGTTGTAATTCAAAAACTAATCACTGTAAATACATGAAATTTTCATCAAATGTTTATGTTAGTGATATCTATATACAGTTTAATTTTGACTTTTTTTGAGTTATTTATAGAACACTGAAATTTACAATTTTCTTAAGAATTTTTTTTTGAAGTGCCGGTAAAAAAACGTTGGACGACCAAAAAAACTTGAAAATTTAATACAAGATTCCTTATGAGTTGTTCTTAATGTAGCTAAAAAAAATTAAAAATCGTAGGTCACAATTTTTTTTTATAAGCGTTTATAGTTAAAATTTTTACGAAATCAGTCGAATACGCGAAAATTTGCAAGTAATTTTGAAGTTGAAAAATCATAAAATTGTTTGTGTTTATAACTAAAGATTAAAAATAAAACACTAAGTTTTCCATCAAGTAGCTTTAGAGAAAACTCGAAGCATCATTATAGGAAAAATTTTAAGTGCGTTTGAATTTTAAATTTTTACGAAATATTGTTACGATAACGATTTATYCTGAAACGATTTTAAATATTTGTTAATATTCAAAAAGTATAAGTCGTACATACTTGAAAATTGTATCAATTATTTAGATTGACATTTTCTTTACATGATTTAATTTTCAAAATATTTTGACTTTTTTTGAGATATTTATAGACGACTGAAATTTTCAATTTGTCTGAAATTTTTTTTTTGAAGTGTCGATAAAAATTTTTTGGCCCCATCAAAATACTTGAAAAT